TGGAGTTTTTTGCTTTGTTCAGATTGTAACGGTGCCCTGGTTCTTCGTCCTTGAAGCAAGAGCGTTTTAACTCATTTTGATTTTTTACGGGAGCCCAGAATTGAGAGACATGGAAGAGACTTTGGATATTTTAGAGAGGCTACGGATATTTTAGAGAATTTGAACTTTGAAAGAGACTTTGAATGTTTTTTAAAGAGACTCAACTTTTAAAGTGTTTTAATTTGTGAAGACTGGGACTGTTAAAAGTTGGACTGTTTTATATTGTGATATTGAGATCTTGGGGATGAATGAGAGGAATGGTTATAGTTTAACTGCAATGTGTTTCTGTGTCAAGTTGAGAAGGGGTCAAATGTGCTGGCTAGTTTTATGTCAACCTGACACAAGATAGAGTCATTTTGGAAGAGCGAACCTCAGTGAAAACATGCTCTCACCAGATGGCCTGGAGGCAAGCCTGGGGTACATTTTTCTTGATTGATGATTGTTGTGGGAGAGCCCGGGCTCACTGTGAGCAGTGCCACCCCTGGGCTGGTGGTCTTGGACAGTATAAGAAACCAGGCTGAGCAAGCCACTAGGAGCAAGGCAGTAAGCAGCATTTCCACATGGCTTCTGCATCAGCTCGTGCCTCCAGGTTCCTACCCTGTTTGGTTTCTTGCTCTGACTTCCCTCAGCAATGGAATGTGACTTAAGAATTTTAAGTTGGAATAAACCCTTTCCTCCCCACACTGTTTATGGTAATGGTGTCTTATCACAACATTAAAAACCCTAACTAAGGCACCAGTACATTCGCTGTGAGATACATTTGGGAAGGAGAATTCAAAGGTTGGATATCAGAGATGTAGTTTCTGCCCTGAAGTTGCTTCCACGGTGGGTATAGGAATGAGAGCATGTGAAACAGAGTGGATGAGAAGGGTCAGAAGGTACATACCAAACTCAGTATCTGGAAATTTCTAACCCTGACTGCTCAGAAGGACCACACTTTTTCTTGTATTTCCTCCGTACTGCTTTCAGAGCTCTCAGATCTATCTTCTTCTGGGTCATTCCACACTTATATCCTTAGGTGTTGGCTGGGGGTGCAGGCTGGTGGTAGAATATTTTCCTAGCATATACAACACCTGGTGTTTGAAATCGAGCACTGAAAATCTCACTGTCTATACTGGAGAGATGTCTTAGCAATTAAGAACCCTATCTGCTCCCCCAAAGGGCCAGGGTTTGATTCCCAGCACCCACAGGGCAACTCATACTTTCTGTATCTCCAGTTCCATGGGATCTGATGCCCTCTTCTGGTCTCCATAGGCACCGGGCATTCAAGTGGTACACAGGCATACATTCAGGCAAAATGCCCATACATGAAAAACAAAATTAAAGATGTATGTTTGTATGATATATATATATATATATATATATATATATATATATATATATATATATATATATATATGTATGTTAGTCAGGTATGGTTAGTCAGCAGGCACATTTGTATTCCCAGCACCTGGGAGGCAGAGGCAAGGACAATCAGGAGTTCTAGGCAATCCTTGGCTATATAGACCAAGACTAGCCTTGGCTACATGAGACTGTCTCAAAATAAAATAAAACCCTCAGGCTGAAAACTCTAAACAAAAACAAACAAACAAAATCCAACCATGTGTGGTGGTGCACAACTGTAATTCCAGCACATGTGAGGCAGAGGCTGGTGGAATTACGGCAGTTTGAGGCTAGCCTGCTCTATACAGTAAGTTTCAGGTTAGCCAGAGCTAAATAGTAAGACTCAAAAACCAAACCAAACCCCACCCAGACAAAACAGAAAAAGGGAACTGGTGTAAATTCTAAGTCTGCCTTTTCAGTTGCCCTGGGAGGAATCATAAGCCTCGTGCAGATCCCTTGGAATTCTCCTGGCAGGGATGAGAGTGAAGTCAGGAGGTGAGGGACCACTTGTTCTATGTGGGTAAGGGTATATCTGGCAAACAGGTCTTAACAGAAAATGAAGTGATAAGAAAAAAACACAAGGTTAAGCCTACCAGTGAATTTGAAATGCATCTCAAACAGAATATTTAAAAATGTATACTGGGCAGAAAGTATTCATTGGACACACACTTGAGAACTCATGAAGTACTAGGAATCCAGTATTCTTGACTGGGAGTATGCCGGGAACCCAAAATGTCTGAGTTCATTGCCATCCTGGAGTACATACTCAAGAGAATTGTGTCATATGTTTATTCTCCCAAAGGGACTGTGAAAAAAAAATACACAGGGATTAAGATGCTAAATTTGTGGCCTTTAGTATTGCATAGCAACACCACTTAAGGGAATCCTTAAAAGTTCAGATGTTGTCCAGGCCTGATGCATCCTTCTGTGATCCTAGTACTTAGGAGGTGCAGGAAAGGAGAGGGAAGAGTTTGAAGCCCTCCTGGGCTGCAGAATGAGTTGGATCTAGTCTCAAAAACAGAAAAAAATAGGTGTTCAATTCATCTTATTCCAGGCAAAAGATAGTTATAGACATGGTCCAACACAAACAGTAGAGAAATAATGAGATGTATTCATTTGTAATGGTTTGATTTTACAGGGAAGATTTAACTTTGCAATTAAGAAACTGGATTTGTTAAGAGCTCTTGAACTTTTAAAATGTTAAAAAATTTAAAGATGTGGGACTTTTAATTTAAAAACCGTATTTTATATTATGATTATTAATACTATCATGAAATCTTAGGGACAAAGAAAGATTATGGTTTAACAGTAATGTTTGTGTGTCAGGCTGACCATGAATGGGTTGGTTTTGTTTGTTTTTGTCAACTTGAGAAAAACCTAGACATGTTTGGGAAAAGCTATAATAGAGGAATTGGCCCATGGGCATGTCTGTAGGGGCATTTTCTTGATTGCTAATTGAGGTAGGAGGGCCCATGTCTGGGATGACATCCTTGGTCAGGTGGGCCTGGCTGTATAAGACGGCTGAGCAAACCAGGGGAAGTAAGGCAGTAAGCAGCGTTCCTCCATGGTCTCTGCTTCAGTTTCTGCCTGGCTTCCCTTGATGGGCTGTAAGCTGTAGTTTATTTAAATAGACCCTTTCCAACCATGTTGATTTTGATTAGTGTTTTTACCACAGCAACAAAAAGCCAATCAGAACACCCTAAAGGTTCTGATGGCTAGATCTGGGCTAGGGCTTGGGAGTTAGGTTTGACGGCACTGCTCATTCCACATTGTCAGTGCTGAAGGAGTTAAAAGAACAACAAAAACCCCACAACAACAAAACAACACAAAACAAGCTCCCAAACACCACCATCACCACCTAAAACAACAACAACAAAAACAAAACCAACAACAAAACAAAACACTAAACACAAAATCCCTCAGAGGCTGCACATGAAATTCCTCTCACCTTTCCAGATAATCAGGGGTGAGACTATTAATACACTCATCCCCCCTTTTTTTAAAGACAGGGTCCTGTGGAGTCCAGACTGTCCTAGAATTTGCTATATAGCTAAGGTTTGCCTTGAATTCTTGATCCCCTTGCGTCAGCCTCCCAAGTGCCGGGATTAGAGATGTGAAACACCAGACTTTTATTTTTATTAACTTAGACTAGCACTCTAGAAACAAGGCTTTACGGGCTTAAATACATGCTTATATTTTGAAAGTTCTAGAGAATGGATTATCTCCACCCTCCAACCCAAAGCAGTAAGGACTCCGATCCCCCAACCCCAACTCTCAGACTGTGAAGTTTTACATATGCCACTATACAATTATTTACTTTGCAAGTTTCCAGTGCCTGTGCATTATTCCTCACAACTGTGTGTGTGTGTGTGTGGGTGGGGTGGGGTGTGTGTGGGGTGGGGTGGGGGTTTGCTGTATTCCTCCAGCATTGGATTGGCAAGTGGAACCTCTGAGAGGTCAGTTTACTGAATGTCATACCGAAGATGCTTGAGGAATCTGAACTTCAGATTTTTCTCAACCCAGTTCAGTGGTATTTTCACCTCTTAGTGGCTCTAACTTACCTCCCTTTATCTAGTAGATTCACAACTCTGTGACCAAAGAGGAACTTGTTGGAAATCACTAACAGGTAAAAGAAACTGCTTGGGCCACTACTGCGCCGGCCTCTTGGCGTTTGGAGGCTGTTCTTTCTGTCCTAACCTGGCCAGTGCCCAGATCACCGCACCCCGCCCCAGGGCGGCGAATTCCCAGATGGTTCCCGCCCCCCATTCCCCGCCCCGCTGACGCGGGTGCAGGACCCGCACGCACCCCGCGGTGATCTTTACTCCCCAAAGCAGTCCTTAGGCTCCTCCAGAAGCCAAAGAAGGCTGGCCGCTGCCTCTTTGCTGGAAGGACAATGAGAGGCTAGCGAGACCCCTTAGGCTGAAGGCCACGCTAGCCTTTGGCTTTTCTCGCTCGCCGGCAGTTTTCTCCTTGTCCTAAAAAGTTGGCTCCAAAGTTTAAGGGTTGAAGTGCACGTGTAGGCGCGTTTGATGGGCACAGACAGGGATGCAAAGAGTGTGTGTGTGACTTGCTGGTTCGGGTTCTAAGGGTCACAGAGACAAGAGCCAGGCTCCGCGTGTGGACTTGAACCCCTGGGCGGGGAGCAGGCGCGGGAATGTGGCGGGAGGCAGCGGAGCCGCGTGAGCGATGGCGTGGCCAGGCACCGGCCGAGGGCGACAAGGGAACTCGGCTGGCAAGGCACACGAGTGAGCCCGGCACTGAATTGGGTCTCCCAGCCCCCACCTGTTTGAACCGATTTGCAAACACCAAAGCCGGATTCTCTGTGTTCCAAAAGTTAGACAGCTGGAGTGGGGCACGCGCACGTGTTCCCCTCAAGGGTCTGGCTGGGCGGACAACACCGGGAGAGGAGGAATTCTAGGGGTGCAGGGAGAGGAGCAAGTCGGCGTCAATGGAGGGTCGGCCTTAGGACCCCGCGGCAGGCGCGTTGGAATCTCTCCCTTCCAGGAGGAGGAGTGGGGCGGGCCTGCCCGCGGGCGGCCACGGGGCGCATGCGCGCGCGTCTCCCCTCCAGCCGGCCGCCGCGCTCCGCCGAGCGGAGTAGAATGAACTGTAACAAAACAAGCCGAGCCTTTGTATCTGCTTAAAGGGGCCGCGGCCACTTCCCTCGCGTCCCCTCACCCCCGCCCCGCGCCGCCGCGTCTCCAGGGCTCCCGGCAACTAGCTTGGAAAGGGCTTCCCTCGCGCCGAGGAGCGGCCGGCCGGGCGCGGAGCAGGCGCGGCGCGTGTGGAGAAAAGCCGCGGAGCGGAGAGCGGGGCCCGGGCGGCGCCGGAGTGGACTCTGGTCCCGGGAGCGCGATCGGCGCCGGAACGCGGACCCGGAGGCACCGGAATGCAAACAAAGCTCGCGGGCGCCCGTGCAGGGCTCTCGACGGAGCCCGGAAAGTTTGTTTTATGATGGCTTGAGAGCGCGAGTGAGTCGGACGAGGAGGATCGAGTGGCTCGCTCCCGCGCTCGGAGAGATGCTTGTCCCGTGAGCCCGCCGCGCCGGGGGCTCGTGCTGTGGGGGCACCTGTCTCTCGTTTTAGCAGTTTATTTGTTTTTTTTTTTTTTTCCCCTTTTGAGGAGGGGCTGTAACTCATCATGTCGAAAGTGATCCAGAAGAAGAACCACTGGACTGGCCGCGTTCACGAGTGCACCGTGAAGCGGGGACCCCAGGGCGAGCTGGGAGTGACGGTGCTGGGGGGCGCGGAGCACGGGGAGTTTCTGTACGTGGGGGCGGTGGCGGCAGCCGAGGTGGCGGTGCTTCCCGGCTGCGGCGAGGGCCCGAAGCTAGCCGAAGGTGAGCTGCTGTTGGAGGTGCAGGGGGTCCGGGTGTCCGGCTTGCCCCGCTATGACGTGCTGGGAGTCATCGACAGCTGCAAGGAGGCCGTCACCTTCAGAGCCGTCAGACAAGGTAAGACGGGGCGTGCCTGGGGGGGCGCACCCAGAAAAAGAGGGGAGGCCTGAAGGGGCGCCGTTTGCTCCGAGTGCCGAGAGCCAAAGTTGAGGCCCGGGCCAGAGGCAGGCAAAGTTGCGAGGTTGTGGGCTGGCGACCACCTGCGTGGCCACGGGCAGGGGGCGAGGTTGCGCTGCAAAGTGGAGATGCTTCCCAGGCCGGGTGTGCCAACTTCTCATCGCAGCCACCTAGTTCGAGCTGCGCAGCCTCTTCTGCACCTTGAGGCAGCTAGGAGACTGAGGCAGGGCAAAGGTGGAAGCTTCCCCTTGTCTCTTATGCGGCGACTAAGCTCTCGGAGCTGGTGGCGTTCTCTGAGCACTGCTTAGGTTCCCAGAACTGGAGAGTGGGTCGTGGAAGGGGAGGGTCTATTTGTGGCTGATTGGAACTCTTCCATCACGAAATTGCCTTCACCCTGCAGCCCCTCCAGGTGGGCTGGGTTATGACCCCCTGGAGATTCTCAATCCGGCCGCCTGAGGAGGCTGCATTCACCCCACAGCGGGGTGACGTCTGTGTCTCCTCCTTGTGGAGACATACAGTGGGGGAAGGGGTGTTTCGCTCTTGGCGCGAATCTAGTCCAAGTTTATCCAGCCGCCTCCTCCTCCTCCTCCTGCACCGTCGTCCTTATTGAGGATGATTGTTGATAGTTACAATTCATTGTCAGCATACTATGTGAGAGCCTCTCTGTAAAGTGGTTTAATTGCATTATCTCATTCTGATTCACAAACAGTGCTATACCATCGACTTGTTTTGTAAGTCCGGTATTATAATAAGTAAGCGGGGACTGACCTTAAGTAAGTGACTTGCCCAAGGTCACACGACTACTAAAAGTTTATGAGCCTTTTCTGTTAAGCCTTAAGCAAGGAGGAGGAGGGACTTTGGGGCATGACCTCTAGGGACTGAATGCTGGGGTAGAGGGAAGCAAATCCCTCCCCCAGAAGTATGTATTATGGGAATGGTTTCCTTAAAGACGCCTTTAATGGCTCCTGGCCGTGGTAGGTTAGTCACTCTCAGTTTGGTCTGAGCGGAGGTCTGATCCTCTCTCTGGCCATCGGAGAATGACTGCCGAGCTTAAAGTGCTGTGACGCAGGCAGGTTCTCCCAGATGAAGGCACCCGAGGAGGCGGGCGGCAGAGTTGAAGGTGGTGAAAAGTTGCCATATGTTCCTGTCAGGATGGCAGCAGCCGAAGAAAATGTGTCAAAGGGAAGGCTGGGCTGAACCATTCCTCTCAGCAGCCGGCCTCTTCCAGATGACCGGAGGAGGGGTGCAGTATGTGTGTGGGTAGCCTAGTAGCCAGGCCTGTCAGTGGTGTTGGGAGCCAGGGGCTGACACCTAACCATGGAATGTCTTTATCTCCCAACTTGGCCTTGTCTGATGAGTATGTCCTTACGAATTTCTCATAAAATTCCTAACAGAAAGTGTGCAGAAGGGTGCTGGTTCACGGTAGGTGCTCAGTAAAAGCAAGCTGTCATTGTTGGAAGAGTGTTGAATTTAAGCAGTCTGTCCTAGTTAGGAATTTAATGCCAGTTCCCCGGGTGATTATGACTTGGTAGAGCCATTGAGAAAATACTATGTTAGACATTTATTGAGCAACATTAGGTTTGAGTTCAGGGCCACTTTGCAGAAAGATTTCTCATCCAGTAGGATGTCTGGGGGGTGATTAATGGGTCCTGAGACTTGTGGGCAAAAAGCTGCCTGAAGCTGAGTCCTTCCACTGCTTAGCAAACCCCCGTCCCCTGTGTGAGTGAGTGTGTGTTTGTGTGTGTGTGTGTGTGTGTGTGTGTGTGTGTGTGTGCTTCATCAGTGTAGTTGGGGAAAGATGCCTATGGATTGGACAGCTACTGTATTGCCTCCAAGTGTCAGTTCCTCCCCTAGGGCTTTCTTTTGCCAACAGAAATGTTCACAAGAAAGAGTGGGCTGATGCTTCTGAACATCCTTGTAATGGGCTAGGGGTGGCTTGGAATCCACTACATTATGAATGCTGTTGCGTGTGATAATTACATGGACACAGTTACTTGTCCAGTGTTGACGGTACAGTGAAGAAGGCCCTAGGAACCATTTTAACAGTCTTTCTTTCTTTCATGTTTCCAAAGTGATTTACATTATAGGGCTTATTGTATCTGACTTTCTTTGTTACTGTGTCTTTATCATATCAGGTAGACTAAGTTGGTCTATGGGAAGACATGATATTTTTATGGTGTTTCCGTTTGCAGTTAGCCCCTCACAGGGACACAGTCCCTCTGGGTACTTGTCTGTGTGGAAATGTCACAGTCTTGTGTGAGAAGATTGTACTCTTTCTGTTGCATGGCAGTTCTCCGGAGAGACTTGAGAGCCAAAATAGTCTATAGCACATGGCATATGGCATGGGAGTGGATTGGGAACCAGACTAAATGGACCCACTAGGCTGGAGTTTCTTCATGGCAAGTGTAGAGTGTAGTTGTTGGTCATAACATGCCTAAAAAATATTATAAATGTGCATATGTTAGTTGGGTCTGTGTGCATATTATTCACCTGTAGCAGAATCCAGATCTAAAAAAAAACCCTACATACCCTTTTAAACGGATACATACGGACATCTATACACATTTTTCCCCGGCAGGTGGTCCAGGGCGGCCTTGAATGCATGGTCCTCCCATCAATGTCCACAGTGCTGGGACTGCAGTGTCTGCTGCCAGCTCTAGTGCACTGCAGTGTTTTGATACTTGTATATATGTTATAGAAGTTTAGGTCAGATACCAAGCATCTACTTGGATGAATTTTGGCACATGATTGGCACATGTACCTCCTCACCTTTCTATCACTCAAATGAAGATATAGAACATTTCCATTACCTGAAAATTCCCTTCACATTTCTTTCCAGTTAATGTACTCCCAACAAAGGGTGTTGGTTCCTCATTCTTACTATTGATTTATATTTAGATTATTCACTACTGATTATATACTCTGGTGTCTTTTTTCACCCAGGAGGTTTTGGAAGTTTCATGTTGTGTGTGTACCTTCTTCTGTGGCTCCTTTTTTTTTCTTTCTGCACACTATTCTCTAGTATGTATTTTTTCCATTTGCTTTTGCTTCTAGGTGCACATTTGACTGCTATGAATGTTCCAGTTATTTTTTTATCTTTGCCAGTCTTTAATCTTACCTATGTTGAATTTTAATCATTCTAGTGTTTAGGGAAAGAAAGTAATTACAGAAATGTTGGATAGGAGGTAGCTAGTTTTTGTTAAGTTCTCACATTGGAATTTGCCAGGCCAGTGTGTGTTTAGTACACTTGAGTCCTGGGTTCACACCTTGGCACCAGAGTAAACCAAGAAGATGGAAAGAGCATATCAGGTTGGCTAGCCTAGAACTTTGTGGGCATTCTCTTCTTAATCCTCTGAACTTGACACAGATCTTGGAAACTTTGCTGAGAGCCCTACTGACGTAGCAGAGGTAGAGGGGGCCCTAGCCCAGTGCCGTCCCAGAGTCTCTGCTCCTAACTCTGGGGACACTGGGTCTGGAATTGGAGTTCCCCAACCAGCAGATCTAAGCTCACCAGGGTCCTCATCAGGAATGTAAATTCTGCCTCCCAGAGTGCTTCTGCCTCAGAAACTTTGGGCATGGAGTCCTTGGGGGAGTTTTGTGAAGTATTGGCCTAGGGTAGAGCCTGAAGTGGAGAAGATGGACAGATGACCTTCTGTTCTGGAACAAGGTCTTGCAAAGTCACCCTCTGTGGGCCTCAATTTCTCAATGCCCGGTATAAGTGGGTATGTTTCCCTCCGGAGCCACGGCCTCCCTCCGGAGCCATGGCCTCCCTCCAGAGCCACGCCCTCCCTTCAGAGCCACGGCCTCCCTTCAGAGCCACGGCCTCCCTCCAGAGCCACGGCCTCCCTTCAGAGCCACGGCCTCCCTTCAGAGCCACTGCTCTAGTGAAGTTCTGGGCCACGAATAACTCAGACTTGAGGTTTAAAAAGGTCTGATTGCAGTTTCTCAAACGAGTATATTATAGGGCATGCTTTTTCATATTTTTTTTTGTGGATGAATTTGTGGTTTTGAAAATTACTCAGGAACTGAAATTGCCTTTCCATTCTCTTCTTAAGGCGAGTAGGAGACAATAAATAAGACCCAATTTAAAATTCTAACATTGGCACCAAACCTTTCTCACCACAGGGCGGGGGTTGTGGCTCCGTAGAGTTGAATATAGTTCTGGTGCAGGTTTCTTCCTTTGCGTTTGTTTGTTTTGATGTTGTGTGTTCATGTTGGTGAGTCAGAATATATGGCATCAGCTCTGAAAATAATTCTGTGACCATTTTCCCTTCGTTTCAGATCGCACTGCTGTGTCTTTCTTGGTTTCTTCCTTTTCTGTGAGTGTCTGATCTGCTTCCTTTCTCCCAGATTATTTCTAGATCAATTGCTTTTTAAAAATCGGTTTTCTCTTTGCTTTTAAAATTTTGTTTTGTTTGTTTATTTGTGTGTGTGTGTGTGTGTGATGTGTACCTGGGGACAAGTGTATGCCACAGCCTACATATGCTACATACTGGCAGAGCATAACTGTAGTCTGGTCTACTCTTCACCTTTATGTCTTTTCTGGAATTGAGCTCAGGGTTTCAGCCTTGTGCAGTGACTCTGTTTAACCCCGAACCATATCACCTGCCTTCTCTTTGCTTCTTTCAGGCACACATCTCACTGTGTTGCTCTGTTGCCTTTAACTCACTGTATAGTCCAGGCTGTACGAAAGTCTTCTGCCTCCACCTTCCTGCGTGCTGGGATTACATGTGTGCACCACTGTGCCTGGCTTTTGACTCCTTTTTAAATTTTGAATTATGTATTCCTGTCCTTGTGTGGGCATGTATATGTGAGTGCAGGCGTCTGCAGAGGCCAGAGGTGTTGGATCCCATTGGAGTCGTAATTCACCTGATTGAAATAGGTGCTGGGAACCAAACTCGGCAGCGCAGCCCCGACATCTCTCCTGGCCCTTGGCTTTT